AACCCGCTCCTGGACGATGCGACGACGGCCGCCCCGGAGAACCTCACCTTCCCCAACAGCAACGGCGCCTTCCTGGGTGCCGCGCTGGGCGGCGTGCGGGCGGACGCCAACGGGAGGGTGCTGTCGGCGAGGGCGCTGAAGCTGATGTATTATCTGCGGGAGGACGGCCCCGCGGTGGCGGAGACCCGGCAGTGGCTGGGGGGGCTCTTTCGGGGGCGCCCCGCGGGACATCCCGGACTTGAACTACTCCTCCATTCAGGTAACACAGAGGTGGGGACCTCCGAGACCCGGGCTGCCCCGTCGGCAGAAGGAGATGGTGGAGAGAAAAGGCAGGGGCCGGCCTGTAGGCTTTACTGTGTTACCTGAAAGTCAACGTAACTCCCGAGACACACAAAGTATGTTTAGAGAGGAGATGTTTTATTCTGCACAGGGTGGAAGACTTCCACAAATCAAGCACACCACGTGCAAAGCGGGGTGTTGGAGATTGGACTAGATGATCTTTTGAGGTCCCTTCCAATCCCTAACGTTCTGTGATTCTGTGAAAACATGCAGCCTATATATCTTTGATACGTGATTAAAAAAACTCCACCTGAAACTACATTAATTGGTACAAAGTTACTTTACTTTCTATTTGCTAACTAATCTCTTGCTTTCCATGCTAATAATTAGTTCACATGCACAGCATTCCTCCTCTTCTGGGTTGGGGGGTTTCTTGAGTCAGTGGTCTGTGAGTTGGTGGTCACGATCCCCCCCTACCACATTTACCTTTCCCTAAGTTTTCACAACTTTTGCAGGCTCCATCCTCATTGGGCAACTTCCCAGCCCGCAGAGCCTCTTTGGGCGTGAGGATTGGACTCATCAGTGTTGTAGCTTCTCTTCAAGGACATAGTCATTAGTAGGGCATGCAAAAAGACTGATTAGAAATCCTTAAATTACAGCTCCAAGGACCAAGTCTTGCTGTCCTAAATTTATGTACCAGAATGCTTCATTATCTACACATGGTTTCCTTCTATCATCTCTTGTTAAACTGTTTCACTGCATCATCAAGGTAATAGCTGGTAACAGCTGCAGCGCTCTGAGCAATGCTTCCAGTGTCATCCACTCCATGCTGCTCATGCGATGCATTGTCTTTGGCCTCTACTTTGTGTAAGCAACACTCCTGGGGGTTGTGAGTGCCACAGAATTGTGTTAGTGCCAATGTAACGTAATAAAGAGCAAGAGTAGAAGTCCTTCATCTTTTCTCTCCTTGTTTTAACAACAGGTGTCTCACTTTACCTCACTGTCCAGACAACAGGAGTTTGAAGGAAATACCAAGACTGTGATCCCGCTCTTCTCCGTAACATATTTCTTGACAATAACATTTTCTATCATCTCTTGCCTAAGGTAAAGTGTCTTCTAAGCTGTGGATCAATAAGAAGTGACCTCTGCTCTTTATCTTGGCTATATTGGCTTCTGCTCTTGTAAAGTGAAGTCATTCTTGAAGCTGCAGACTTCATGTAGTAATAGGCAGCGTGTGTTTCTTTGCTGAGTCTCTCCTACTTGTGTGTATTTCCCAACTGCTTAAATGGGTTTCATGATAAGTACCAGACAAATACCTGAACGAGCGTTCAGATCAGACACGCACAGCTTGAATGCTAGTGTCCATTTGTCTGTTCTTTGAAGCCATCAGTCATTTCTGTAGCCCAAACCTCCTAAGAATCCTTTTTGCAGCTGATGGTTTTGAAACTGTTTAAACAACTGAAACAGCCCCCTGCTCTTCATGTTTTTAAGAGATCAGAGGTGCTGTACCTTTGGTACTGAAAAACACTGTGCCAAAGTAAATGCTTTTGATAATGAAAGGGTTTTACTTTACCCTCTGCAGAAAGGGGGGCAGAAATTTGATTTAGCCAGCCTGGCAGTGGCAGAATTCTGCACAAGCACTTCTGCTGAATAAAACTTACCAGCTTGACTTGGCACACCCAGTGGAAACATCCACTGAAAAGATGCCTAAAAGTCAAACAGAAAAGTCACCATTTGGGGGGAGGGAAGGAGTAGGTGGTGCTGCTGCTGAGGTTATTCTACTGCTTTCTTGTGTTATTCACAGCTTTTCTCCTCATTCTGCCCACAAGATAGTTTTTTGTAAAGATAGTTAAATAGGGGAAGGAAGCACGGGAGGGAAGAGGAAGTGTACCCTGGTAAGATCTGTTTCTGCCACCTGTTCAATTAAGGTGCAGATGAATGAGCACTAACTTCATAGGTTACTGCAAGTCTGGGTATGGCTTTAGGTATTTTGCTTACTGATAGAGTCTGAGCCTCACCTGCTGTCCACAGAAAACTTAGCCTGCCCTTTCTTTGTGCTGGTGGAAGGTGAACTAGTGTACATTTTACAACCATAGGGCAGTATTTGTGTGCTGTGCTTGAGAAATAAAGTTCTACTCAGAGTGGGCTTATTGGTTTAGTGCTTTTGTCAAGCATTGTGCCCATTAGGCTGCACAATTTCAGGGTATCAGCTGTCTTGTGTCCAGTTGTTTGACCAGACAGAGCAAGGGTGGTTCCACCAACACACACTTCTTGCCTTGGAAGCAAGAGATTCTTTTAAAGTTCAGAAATGGTCTACAGGCTGGAAAATACTACTGATCAGGCAAGAGGCAAATCTACTCTCTCAATGTGGTGCTGTCAGTAGCATCACATGGGAAGTCTCCCACTGGGAGCGTTTCACAGGGAATCCTTGAGCTGGCCCTTGGGGCCATCTTGGCAAATTGCTGGTAGCCCATCTGTCTGCTGAGAAAGGTGCTCTACACAGCACTTACTGCTTGGGAGGTGCTTCCATACTACACCGATACACTACAATAAGAACCTGTGTAAAACGAAAGCTTCTAAAAATTCTTCATTTTTTGAGTCATCCTAAATCTAGCCTCTCATTGGTAGTGCTTATGTATCATCATTTTGACAGCTCTATTGTTATTGATGCAAAGATCAGTACACTTTCTTTCTTTTATGCATATAACCGAAAAGCAGTTACAATACAATACATTACTATGTATTAAGCACCTCCTATTATAAATTAATCTTATCTAATGCTCACCTGGGAGCTCTTCTAGCAACTTTCATCAAGAGTTCTTTTCACAGACAGGGTATTGTTGCACTTACCATGTCAAACACCTTGGTGAAATATTTGATGTGTAACTAAGATATTCCTTAAAATATTTTCAGGCTGAGCTGCATAAGAAATAATGTCTGGCTTGCATGCTGTGGAGTGGTTTCTGCCGGTTTAGCTGTGTTAAGCAGCTTTGGATTGATGCTCTTTTGTGGAGTGCCATTTGTGGTCACTGTAGCAAACGCACCATTTCTTATTCTAGGTAAGTACAAAAAGCAAGTCAGATCCAGATACGAAGACTAAAGCAGAGTTAAAACAACTTGATGGCATTACTCTTTTGTGATGTGAGCATCGGATCATCATATTTCTAAAGACACATTAACAAAAGGAGTGCCGAGGAGAATCTCCATCCTTTACTGGATGCAGGGGGAACCATAGTGACAAAGGACGAGGATAAGGATGAGGATAAGGCTGAGACACTTAGTGCCTTCTTTACCTCAGTCTTTGATAGTAAGTTCAGCTGTTCTCCAGCTATCCAGCCTCCTGAGCGAGAAAACAGGCACGGGGAGCAGAACAAAGCTGCCATGATCCAAGAGGAAATGGTTAGTGACCTACTCTGACAATTAGACATACACAAGCCTACAGGACCAGATGGGATGCACCCAAAGGTACTGAGGGAGCTGGCAAAGGTGCTCACCAAGCCCCTTTCCATCATCAGCAGTCCTGGCTGACTGGGGAAGTTCCACTTGACTGAAGGTTGGCAAATAATGCACCCATTTACAAGAAGGGCTGGAGGGAGGATTCTTGGCAGAGAGGGATCTGGGGGTGCTGGTCGACAGCCGACTGAACATGACGAGTAACAGGACAAGAGGAAATGGTCTCAAGTTGCACTTGGGGAGGGTTAAATTGATTATTAGAAGTTTCTTCACTGAAAGGGTTGTCAGGCATTGGAACAAGCCGTCCAGGGAAGTGTTAAAGTCACTATCCCTGAAGGTATTTAAAAGATGGGAAGATGAGGTGCTTAGAGATGTAGTTTAGCAGTGGACAGGTTATGGTTGGACTCAATCTTAAAGGTCTTTTCCAGCCAAGTTAATCTGTGTTCCTATACACAGTTCTGTCCTGCAGTGAGGAAAGGAGTCACTTGGAGGTGCAGCTTCCTCTGAGCTCCTGCAGCAGGGTGAGCTGCTCAGCTCAGTGTGCCCACATTGGGGCTGGAGCAGGGCTCTGGCAGAAGGGCAGCTGTTTCTGAAAAACGATGCCTGCTCTAGTTCTGCTGCTACAGCATAAACACTATAAATGAGACAGTGGTACAGTTAGCATTTCTGGTGTTACTCTGGTGTCCCTGGTAGTTTGTCCATGCTGATTAACCCTTTATTTAACTAGAGCTAGTACTTGAGGTGAGCTCAGCAGGGTTCTGTCACTGCATTCCTCTGTATCATCACCTGCTGTTTTCTATAGGCATAGTATAGGCATTTACATATCTGATTAGCTCTGGAGAAGTTTGCCTACCCCAAAGCAGTTGTTCTATGGGACGGCTGAATTTGCCAGCAATTTAAGCAAGTGCAGAGGTCTTCCCTAAACCATCCATGTCTTGACCACCTCTTTTGAAGTACAGTGCAAGCTCCCTGCTTCTCTGCTGTTGGTCAACCTCAGGGTAGCTCAAAAGCAGCACCATGGAATGCATGTCCACTGTGCACCTCATGCTACACCAGCACTGACTTAATCTGTCATCACCTGTTTCATGTGGTGAATATGAGGAGTAAGTTACTATCAGTTTTTTGTATCCCATTTTCAGAGTGTTGTCTTTGGTCAGATAAAATTTGGTCTGAGCAGGGCTGTCTGTAATTTCAAGTAAGAATTCCATCTTGTTAAGGTATGAAACTTCCTCTGCGATATAATGACTATGTAGTAAACAGTCTCGTTTAGCTATACAACTGAAGTGATGCACCATCTGTGCAACCAGCTCCCCCGAAAAATGCAAAGTTGGTATCATTGCATCACAGTTGCACAGGCAGCTTGACAGCCAGAGCTGAACTTTCCAAATACCATGAGATAATATTGCTGCAGATAAATTTCTGCTTGTCAAATCGTTGTGTGGTCTTTTCTACAATAAATTCATGTGATGTTTTCTTGGTCTCACGCTGAGGAAAGCACATGGAACTCCCCAGTGTTTCCCACATAATTCACATGCATTTTGCATTTGCATTTGTTTGCTCATCAATTGAAGAGGCTCTGAATTTCACAAAGACCCTGTTGTATACCTGGAAAAGGGCTTAAGCCAGTCTCTTCAGATCTTTATAAACAACATGTACAGTTTTGTCTTCCTTACATAAAAGAAAACAAATTACCAGCACATTGGATGAATTTCCTTGAAGCCTCCCTGCTTTCCGGAAGCGGCCTGGCTTGCTGCCATCCAGTTGTAACTTCTGACTTGCTGCTTAATTCAGCTTGGCATGTTTACTGGAAATCATCTGCTCAGGCAGCAGATAGATTTCATCTCTATGTTTAGCTGTTTCATCTATGCTTGCTCCTTTTATTCATGCAGTCTTGCTTCCCCTTTTTCTGTAACTATTTTTTCAGGGAATAGAGGAGCCTTTGATAACAGCAACATTGGCGAAATACTGAAAAGTCTGTGATTAAAATCTGGAGAATTAGCAGAGCCGAGAGAAACATGTTGGCTCCTCCTTTTTGAACTGCAGCTCACTTACTCTTGTGTCTTAGCAAAACCTCTAGCCCAGGACCCAGTCTTCCTGGCAGGGTTTGCCAGGACTCTGGTGGGTATTATATGCAGACACATCAGTATAAGTGTGGAGATAAATGAATAATAAATCATGAATAAATGTTCAAAGATAAACTGGAGAGAAGAAGAGGGGAAAGCAAAGTGCGTAAAAAAGCAAACCAGTGAAGAACTGGGATCACTGTTCTCCCACATGATAGCAATTGTGCTCACTGTCTGCTGAAGGCAGAGAAAGAAATTATTGGTCTAGTTTGTTGCAGTGATGAGGAAATTCCAGAGACAGTGGGGAACTTCCAACAATAAGGATGGTTGAGCATCAGAATAAACTAAGTATTTAAATCTGTAATCACTGGACACCTGGCCAGCAGGTACACCACACTTGTCAGAGATGGACTGGATATGCTCAGCCCTTCAGCAGAGTAGGATGAGAGATCAACAGCCCTTCAGGTCACCAGGAATTTCTTAAATGTAATAAATTCAGCTACACACAAAGGATCTGTTTTCCTGTATCTGTTTCACTTCATCAGCACTAAAGCAATGTTCATAGCCTAACTTTCAAAATCTTATGCAGACTTGAATGTGATTAATTTTGTATTTTTTGTGGGTGTTAGTGGAAACTGCCATTGACAATGCAGTGTTAACTTTTTCTCCTCCTGCAGGAGTTGGTGTTGATGACATGTTCATCATGATCGCTTGCTGGGAACAAAGTTTAAGAAAAAAAGAGAAATCTGAGGTTAAATCTCTGCTGGCTGAGACTTACGCAGAAGCAGCACTTTCTGTGACCATCACCACTCTCACAGATGTTTTGGCCTTCTTCATTGGCACCTGGACTGCTTTTCCATCTGTGAGGTCATTTTGCCTCTATACAGGCACTGCTTTTGTCTTCTGCTATATATATACCATGACCTTCTTTGGGGCAATCATTGTATTAAATCATAAAAGGGAGCAGGGAAACCGACACTGGCTGACTTGTATGCCTGTGGGAGCAGATAAAGATCAGGCTGCAATGTCCTGCTTGTACAATGCTTGCTGCATAGGCAGCTGTTCTAGGGAGTCATCTCAGCTAGAAACCAAACAGTTAGAAAGTGAACATCCAATGAGCATATTCTTTGAAAAGTATTATGGTCCTTTTTTAACAAACAAATGGATCAAGCTGCTTGTGGTGTTGCTGTATGGAGCGTATTTGGGTAGCAGTGTTTATGGATGTACTCATATCAGGGAAGGCATTGATCTTAGAAATCTGGCGAGTGATGACTCTTACGTTATCCCATACTATGACGACGATGACAAATACTTCTCAGCCTATGGACCGAGGGTCATGGTTGTCATTACTGACAGTGTAGATTACTGGAATGAGACTGTTCGTCTTGACATTGAGAACTGCACACAGAATTTAGAGGGCATTTCCTATGTAGATGGGAACCTCTCAGAGTCATGGCTGAGAGTATACACAAAGCTTGCAAGCAGTGGTTTGATAAGTATAAGCAATAAGACTCTTTTTGTTAATAACTTACCTACACTGTTCCGAATTGTTCCCAGTTTTGAGTGGGACGTTAACAAGACTCAGGATAAAATAGAAGCTTCACGTTTCTTCATCCAGACGGTGAATGTGACCTCAGCTGTTGATGAGAAGAATCTTCTCAATCAGTTAAGAGAGACAGCCGAGCAGTGCAGTACTCCGTTAATGGTGTACCACCCTGCGTTCATCTACTATGACCAGTACCTGGTCATAGTGCAGAACACCATTCAGAACATTGTTGTCGCTGCTGGGGCAATGCTCGTTGTCTCCCTTCTGCTTATTCCCAACCCGTTGTGTTGCTTGTGGGTGACTTTTGCTATAGCTTCTGTTATAGTTGGTGTTGCTGGCTTTATGACGTTTTGGAAGGTCAACCTAGATTCCATATCCATGATCAACCTGGTCATTTGTATAGGGTTTTCAGTAGATTTTTCTGCTCATATTTCCTATGCCTTTGTTACAAGTGGAGAGACATCAGCTAATAAAAGGGCAACCGAAGCTCTGTCCTTGCTAGGTTACCCAGTATTACAAGGTGCAGTTTCTACTGTACTAGGAGTAGCTGTCCTGGCTGCAGCAAAAACCTACATCTTTAGGACATTTTTCAAGATCATGTTCCTTGTTATTTTGTTCGGGGCTCTTCACGGTCTTGTTTTTATTCCAGTGTTTTTAACTTTTTTTGGAAACTTAGGCAGATCATCCTACAATACCAAATCTGAAAAGCTAGAGCTTAGGTTCAGACATGATAAAGATTGTCCATGACTAAGTTCAATTCAATATATTACGTATTTATTATATGCATATTAAAATGCAGTGACTTTCAAGGAATATAAGAAATAAAGAAAATGAAGGACAGAAAAATAAACACAGCAGGGAAACAAAGGCTTCACAGAAGTCAGGCAAGAAAAATAACAGAAGAAGAAATGAAAACACCATGAGTTTACATTTCCTTATTTTTATGTGTGCTTGTCTAATACTTTAATGTTGTTAAACCTTTTTTTGTGACTTTGTTTTCTGAGTGTATTAAAGTTGATATAAACACTGACCACTGCATCAGCTTAATGGGCTACATTACAGGTTTGCCAGGCAATGTACACAGGAAGGTAGGTTTGCATTTTGAAGACAACTTTCCCCTAAGAGGCTCAAATGTGGAGGTTTTACAGCAAGATTACAAGAGATCAGAACTGCCTTGGCCTGCAATGGTTCATCAGCCTTCAGGAGACAAAGTTGGCTTAGGTGCCTGCCGCAGCATGAGACACCCTTAGGGAAGACAAACTGACTCACGTTTTCTATTCAAATCTTTCTTTGCTTGGTGTTCTGTTTTCTTAGAGATTAAACATTATGTAGCTTTAAGAACTTCATTCTCCCAGTCCCTGCCTTTGCCTTCTTTGACTTGAGTGTGGCTTGAGCAAAGATAGGCAAAAAAGTCATTGAATACCTCAGCCTTCTCCACATCCTAGGTCACCAGGTCTTCCCTTGTGGAGGGGGCCCACATTTTTCCCAGCCTTCCTTTTATCACTGACATAGCCATAGAAGCTTTTTTGATTGCCCTTGATGTCCCTGGCCCCATTTAATTCTGTCAGGGGCTTACCTTTCCTAACCCTGATCCTTGGCTACTCAGACTACTTTGTATTCCTCCCAGGCTACCTGTCCTTTCTTCCACCCTCTGTAGGCCTCCTTTTTGCATTTGAAGATTAAGACACATCACATATCCCTTTGTAAAATGAAAAAAAAAGTTGGGGCTTTTTTTTGAGGGGTACCTAATGTGCATGAAACCAGAAGTGCACTTCAACTGATGCATCTTTCCATACCTACTTTTATCCCTAGGTCATAATATGACAGCCTGAGAATTCAAAGAGAAAACTCTTTGTAAAAGGTATCCTGAGCTTCCTTGCAAATTTCTCTCAAAAGAATATTACATTTCCTTCTCATTTTCTGTGGAGCCTTTCTACCTGGAAAGCTACTCAAACCAAACCCAGGTGTGTTGTTTCACCACTAAGGCAACCGAATATTCTACTGTGATAGCAGCTCTCTAATCATCAGTAAATGTTTATTAAAAAGTTACTGATCTTGCAACACGCCAGAGTTGAAAAGCAAGTTTTGTTCATAGGAGAAGCAGTTCTTGAAATAGTCATGTAATACAAAAAAATAGTATCAGAAGAAATCTGTTCCCAAGGTGTCAAAACCCAGAGCTACTACAGCCCCTACGGTGCATCACTGAATCTCAGCATTATAGCCAGCAGCGTTAAAATTCCAGAACAGGGCACTAACCATGAAGCTAGATTTAAGAAAAACAAAACAGACCCCCAAAAACCCAACCCCATGCACCAGAATCCTCACTTCTCCCATTAAATGTTTCAGTGTCCGCGCATCAGTGCTTTTATTATGGCAAATGCTACAGCCATTTCTGCACTGATGAAGCTGCCAAAGGAGCAGATGATGCACTCACATTGGCCAGCACTAGAGGAAAACATCAATAAACACTACACAGAAGGAACAGCAGTCATGCTCTTGGAAAAACAGAATGGAGATCCATTTCTGAGGGAAGAAAAGCGAGTGGCCTACTTAAAATGAGCACACTCACCTCTCACCCTGTTCTTTTAGAAGCAAAAATCACTGCTTTCTTCTAGGAAAGGTTTCTGAGCAGATAGCTACCAATGCTTTGACTGCTGTTTTCACACCCAGTTAAGGGATCAAGATCTAAAACACCATTTTGACATTTCAGCTGACTCAGGTCATCACACCATAGGAAGCAGCCAGAAAGAGCAGCCCACATCTTTCACTAGAGTTTGCATTTTCTTTGTATTAAGCTTGATGGCAGAATTCTGGCATTAGTCAGCCTTGGAAACGCAGAAAATTCAGAATCCTGCCCAAATTTGAAGTTCTTATTTTATATGCCACTGTACATGTGACCAGTTCAGGGCTATTTAAAAAGGAAACAGTCCATCAAAGCACCTCGCTCTGCCCTGTTTTCAACTACAGGAGGCTGTGAACTCAGGTTATGCTCACCATCTGACTCAAGTTTGGAAGCTGCCTCTGTGGTCTCTGGCCTCTGTCCAATGACTATGTGAGGAGCAGTTTCAGCTTCTAGACGTGCCCTTATCTTACATAGATAAGTTTCTTTGAAATCCCACAGAAACTGCATGCACACAAGCATCGAGGTATGACTGTTAACAATTCAGATACCTTTTACACCTGATGGCTAATCTCTCTCATTCTTTCATGACCCAATGAGTTATCACCTTTTTGTTTTTTTTAGGCTGTGCTCATTTCTTTGCATATAGAAAGCAGCTTTTTAAATGAGAAAAGTTAAGACAGACCTCAAGGACTCACCCCCCAAACCAAATCATTCAATATAGATTTTAGTGACTTAAAAAGTGAGAAGTGTTTTCCTTTTGTTTCTAAACGCAGATCCACGTTATTTAGCTGGAAGTGTTCCCATCCAAATCCCACTACTGAAGCAGCAATTGCAAAGAGATCTGAATTTCTAGGGAGAAGATTCCTTAGAAATCTAATCAGAGAGAGTGGAATTTTGCCATCATTATTACATTTATTTACAAGTTTAAATGTTTTGTACACCTCCATTTACACAGTAGGGAACTTGGTATTACATTTTTTAACAATTTACAGTGAATAAAAAGAAAACCAATATGCATAATTAAAATTAACCTTTATTACTCCAAAAACAAATGCCAAATATGCAGTATATTTCTGTTTCTGCTGGCATATTTCTAAAATACATGTACAACTGAGACATTTGGTATACTGTTTTATAACATTTGGAAGTTCTCTCACACTGCACTGGGCTGTCACTATATTAAGCTGACAAAAAGAGGCAAATAGAAAGTTATTCTGGTTTTGAAAGAAAAAAATGCATGTGCGTTTACTAAAAACCTAGGTTATAATCAAGCATTACACTCAGAAAATTCTAAAATACTTTGTTACTTCTAGGTTTAAGTGTAGCTACCAATTTCCATTCACATTTATTGGCACCGGCCCAACTATTGAGATGTCCAAGTATGATAACCTTCAACACTAATATGCTAATAAAGGCCTTCTCTGCAACAGAGGTTTATAGTCCCAAGGGTCTACAATTAATTGTGCAGAAACATTACCATCAAGATGTGTTATTCCTAAAAACCAGTTCCATGAGATAAGAATACTGGCATATAATTCCTAGCAATCACTTCCACTTGATTGGAAACTGTTTTTGTTTTCCAAAACCTTTTCTTATTATCTTAGAATTTCCAGAGAGTTTTCTGTAAGGTTGAAATAAAGGGTTTTATTTCCCTACTTCTACTGTAGAACAGAACTGGGAATGTTGTTTGAAGCAACACACACATCAAACATTTTCTGAACTACTCTTTAGTGAGCAGTATTGCCCTCTCTGACAAAATTATCTGTTGGATTATCAAACGCCCATACATAGTATTAGTAGAAACTAGTTCTGTAGAATCTCCAGCAGTGTAAAAGCACTGTTACCCACCTACTGCAGTAAGAAAAAACAATAAATCTAAGAATCTTGTCAGCAGCACATCAGGTCACAGGTATTTCTCTTATCCCTGCCACAGTTCTCCCCAAAACACAGTCCAAAGAGGCTGAGACATGTTTAGCCTGTTGGGTTTTGCAGTAAAATTTCTCTCCCAGCCACACATGCGTGTATTTTAATCCCAAGAGCACTGAAAATACAACCCGTAATGTTTTTGTCTAACATTGAACTCTCACAACTCCCTTTAACAGAGATGCGCTATGCAGCCTCTTCATCCTTACAGACGTTTTGTTGCATTTCTAAATAAAAAGTCGTCTTTTAAAGGGATCGTTAGCCTCAGAGTATGAGCATTAGTTAGACTACATACTACTGTTTTACAAATCAATCTGTTCCTATCGATCAGACATTCCATAGCACATATTGTGGGGTACCACTTCAAACGCACACGTAGCAGCGTGACCCAGGGAGCCATGCCAAAACACAGAAGTATATCATGTTTTTCTTCTCAGCATCAACATCTGACTAAACCAAAATGCTGAATTCAACCCTGAGACTTATCCTTCTGAATAACTTCTTGTTGGAAGAGTACAGGGAACACAGGATGACGAACTTGCTTTATTTTGTGTGTCTTATTCTGATGAGACACAACAATTAGATGAGTAACAGAAGCTCACAAGAGACAGAATAATAGTAAAGTGTCACTAATGCCTTATACAAATCAGGAAGGGAAAAAGGCTATGCTGCTTAAGACTACTTCATTGCTAGATGTACATTCTTCAAATTATCAGTTACTGTTATCACAGAAGTTATCATCTTACTTCTAGTTTTTTCCCCTCTAGAACAATTTGGATTTCTTTGGCATCCAAAGTCTCGTATTTCAATAAAGCTTCTGCTAAATTCTTGTGTTCTTTTGCATGAGTCTTCAGGATGTTCTTTGCTCGCTCATATGAGTCCTAATATTAAAAAAAGTGGAAGGTGATTTTAAGACTTTAGAACAAAAACAACAGCAAGATTCTACTTTAAAAATTGTTTCCAAGTAAATACAGCTTGAAGCAAACATTTAAACTTGTGCCTTACATTTCACATTAGTACAGCTTCTGTCTCAGAGTTAAAATCTAGCAGGCATAATTAATTAAAAAACAAAACAAACCAACCAACCCAAAACTTAATGCCACCTTTGCATTTTGCAGAAGTAGGACTGAAAATAAAACTATGAGAGAAACCTTAGTATTTTTACATATGACTTAGAAAATACTTACTAGATTTGAAAAGTTGCAGATTAAATATATTTGATTTTACATTATGAGCAGTGCTACAGCATTCAAGGGATGTTCCTCAAAGACTTAAAGTTTGTTAAAGCTTATAAAACTCTTAAAGTATTACATACTTTCAGGAAGCTGAAAGCCACCCAGCAAGTTCACAGTTGCTGCCAGTAGATGCACATTGCCAGCATTACCAGCTTCAACTTTTAACTTCTATTGAGTTATACTTCTACACAGATAGTTCTTACATGACCAAGTCAGTTCAAAAAATAGCTACAGTGTTAACTGTTTTAATGCTAGGATATAAATAATTCTCCTGCCTGTACCAAACTAATTCAGATTACCAGAACAGCAATCTGAAGTTCTGTGATTATCGGAATGTTACAAGTTTCCCTAAGCACCTGATGCCGATCACTGTGAGGAACAGGACTTGGGAAAAGGCAACTCTCTGATCCGATATGGCCATTCCTGTGATTCTAGACAAAATTATTTAGCTGCAAGTCGTGAAATGCGGGAGTAAGGTGAAACATTCACATCCTTTCTAAAACAATTTATAGCCATACTTTTTTTCCTGACCAAATATAAGTGTTAAAGCGCGAATTAAAGATCCTAACACCACCAACTTGTTTCTCACTACATGTGAAAAACCACAAATTTTTGATGTGCAGAGATTCAAAGTTGCAGCTACATTAAATACTTGGCAATACTTCCATTCACCTGTATATTTTCACTAGTATGCATTACCAAACTGAATAACCGAGTAAGCTGATGCTCAACTCTTCTCAAATAAATGTATCAGAGTGGAGGAGTACCGAATCTTACCCGTAGAAGTGTTCTTACTTCCTGTTCAATTGCAGACTGGGTTTCAGGGCTAACTTTCCCCGTATCAGTATAGGTCATAACACCAAGCTAAAAAACAACAAAAAAATTTTTATCTTGCCACTGTTGCAGGAATACACATAAAACACCAAGAGCTTCATCACCTATTGCTTCTATGAGCAAACAAATAAAACCATTAACTGAATGCTTGTTTAAATGCTTGCAAGAGAAGCAAAACAAGAAGCCTGTTCATCACTGCAGAGTTCTATTTCAACAGGTCAGAATACAGATCCCACTTAAGTGTTTTCTAATTTAAAAACCAAAACTAAATCCCCAGACTACTACCACTTGATGGGTAATAAAGATGACTAAAGACATTTCTTTAGAAGTATAGAAAACTCAATGTCTCCCCCTCAAAACCCAAGATTATCCTAAATTCCAAAATGTTTGGTTTTATTATAAACATTTTCTGCAGACATGAGTAACTTTCAAGGTAATTCTGAGGTGAAGATTTTACAAGTCCATTTTTAAACTAACTAGAAAACCTGAATATTTGATGAGTTCTCTACAGCAGGGCCACTCACAAGGCTTACTTTATTTTCTGCCAGAACTACTTAGTATTTGTGATCACCGACAGCCAAATAGGCATTCAGTTACAGAACAGAATGTTTCCTTGTACCATATAAATATTTAAGGATTGATGATACTACCTTCTCACTCATTCCAAATCTAGTCACCATCAGTTTTGCAATTTTAGTAGCATTGTCAAAATCACTGGAAGCACCTAGATAGCAAACAGATGTAAATTACGTTACTGAAACCAAGCTAAACATGCAGTCCACAAACTTTGATGAAAAATTCTTTTAGCTATCAAATCAGCTGACCTGTTGTGATGTGATCACTTCCAAATATGAGCTCTTCTGCTACTCTTCCTCCCATACAGACATCCATCTGTGCAAGCAACTGAGATCTAGTTTCACTCCATCTGTCATTTTCTGGGAGCAAAGATACCTGTAAAATACAGAACTGTGGTCAGGTAACAATAAACAGAAGAAATATTGAAATAATCTGAAAAATAGTCTTGTTTATATCCAAACCAGATATGAAGACTTTTATGCAACAATTTAAATGCACTGGGCCTCCTCCTAGTCTACACACTCATCAGGTTTGCATGGAGGTGCTTAGTCTACCAGCTGAAATAGCCTCCTATAGGCCATGAGCACCACATAAAATTAAGCAACCTAAACCTTCCACCAGAAGAAATGGAACCATCTATTCTATCCATTTCTCTTTTCCCTACACTTGTACTGAGGAAAATCAACATGCCTGGAGGATTCAAGCCAATGATTTTCTTTAACTGAACACATTAACTTGGATAACGTTCAACAGAAACGGACATAATAGAAATATTTTTCTGTTCAAATGCTTGGCAGCTAAAGGCAGAATAGAAAAGCTTAGGGATATCTATGCTAGAAACAAGGGTGCTATATTTTAACTGCAACAGAATCAGGCATATTTACACTTCTTTCCTTGTATATGTGAGCTATTATACTAGTATATGCTATTTCATTTCAAAATTAAGAAAGCTTTCTATCATCCAGAAAAGATGACCAGTAAGTTTTCCAAGAGACTGCTCCAAGTATTCCAAGTATTTCAACATTACAATATGCATTAACATAATTACAACAAATAGCATTGTTGGCAAATTCCTCAACAACACTAAACCAACATAAAATTCTAGAAATACTCACATGTCCAAGTGTTGTTCCTCGTGTCATGATTGTAGCCTTGTTGATCGGCATTGCATCCTTAGTATAATATGCAATGATGGCATGTCCTGATTCGTGGTAAGCTGTGATGGTTTTGTTTTTCTCATCAATTTCTACACTTCTACGTTCAGGTCCTTAAGCAAAGGAACATTAAATAAACTCTTTTGTACAGCTGACCACCACAATCCACACATTACATATACTCAGCGCACAAAGCGGCTGAGGAACAGCATGCAAACAAAATTAACATTAAGTGCAAAATATTTACAAATAGGATTTTAATGTCTAAAATAGACCTCAATATCCAGACCATTTGTTTTTAAAGAAACAGATTTAAAATGCAGTCTGAGTATCTGAGAAAATCCAATTTCTTCTCTCAAGTATGAACACTACAGGTTTTTAGTGTTTATGTCTTAGATATTTAAGTTTCATGTTATCACATGACAAGTTAGTTAAACAGAAGTTCCAGGTTTCTGGTCATTCATTTCTCCTTTCCTTTAGGAATAAGTAGGGGAACGGTAAGAAATCAAGCCTCTGTCTTCTTCCAGGCTCAAGAACAACATGCATACTTGATTTTACATACAACTCTCTGATCTCAAAAAGTTACATTCAGAATGAAGTAACAGAAGAAAAAAAACAAACCAACCACCAAAAAAAACCCCAAACCAACACCAACACACCACAACCAAACCAAAACAGCACAGAATTTTTTTTTTCCCCTGTAAAAGTCTTAAGCATGCCAGAAAACTCCTGTGGACTGTAACATACATGTGTGTCTTTTGTATAAAATCCTACCCATTAGAATTTTGTCCTTGGAGAATTCGAGTTCTTTCATGGTTACCATATCTTTTCCATCAACAGCTGCCTTTAAGGCAGCCTGATTGACAAGGTTCTCAAGCTCTGCTCCAGAAAAACCTACTGTGCCTCGTGCAATTATTTCTGGATCAACGGCTGTGAGGAAAGACAAACTTGTCATTAGGGTCCATATCGTTCCTGAAAAAGCTTGTATCAGAAAGAAATACCAAGAAATGATCGAATTATAAGCAAGAATCATGTTCTAATAAAAATAACACATAATACAAAACCCATCAGCTTTAGAATAAGTGAAGCCTAATTCTTAAGCTACTATGAACTCTTTGGGACTAGAAACAAACACTGCATCAGAAAACTGTTGCAACATTACATACTAGACAATTTTTGTTTTCTTTACTGAGACACATGGTAAAGCCACAGTTGCTGATTGCATGAAGGACTTGTATACGAGTGGGCTGATCCAGTATAAAAACATTTACTTACATGGATCATACTTTATTTTATTAAGGTACCACTTCAGAATTTCTGTACGACCTCTTACATCAGGCTTGGGAACAGTAACTTGCATATCAAAGCGACCAGGACGTATTAAAGCACTAGGAGAAAAGACAATTTAATACATTGACTTAAAAATGCTGCAGTAAACTGTTCCTAACTTCTATAACGAACAAAAACCCATTTGATATTTTTAAGGCCTTTACATAGACTATATCTGATGTGCAGATGCAGTGAATACATTTTTCTTTTTACAAATAAAGACAGCTAAAAGATGTTTATTACTACCCTGTTTTAAAGGTCTCTTTGCATTTGAAAATTTTGCACTGCGAACAAGGAATGCAGGTACTCAAATTAAGATGAAAAACTTCCAGAAATTTTAGATGCTTAGAAGCATGTTACTTGTTTTTCCATATTTAACTCAACAACCTTTTAAATGCCAAAAACTGGTCAAAACACATTCTTTTTAAGAGGGAAAACCCCCAGTTATATCACTGTAATACTTGAATATTATCACAGCAACTTTGTTGTAGATTTTGTGGGGGTTTTGTTTGTTTTTAATACATGCTCTGTAGAAATGATCAATACATGATACTCACTTATCTAGCGCTTCAGGGAAATTGGTTGCACCAATAATAACAACACCTTCATTAGGTTTAAACCTGTATGGAAAAAAAGGGTGAGAATTATGGGTGTTTTGGAGACAGAATTTACACCCTTTTTTGTCAGCAACTACTATTTCTTATTTTGGATGACCTCAACTGGCCAGTCAAAAACACACAGTCAAACCACAGCATGTGATCCAAGAATGATCACGTTTAAGCCAGCAATCAAGTTAAAAAATGCCCTGATCTCAGAATTGAACTTCTTCCTCTAGGTAAATAGACACCCTAAAAAATTTAGAAATTATATAAAATAATTGCAGCCATTGTGCTACTACAACTCCAAAGCATCTATGTTCTTTACATCAAGGCAATTAATGCTACTGTTGGCAGTATTAGAAAGTGGTCATAACAGCATCTTAAATTTATATCCTTAAAGGCCTTACAAAAAAAGTATGAAAAAACAACAAAGCGGACAAGAAAAATTCACCAGAATATTCAAAATATCAGTTAGTCAAGCACCTTATACGCCCTCAGAATCCATATATTTACCCATCCATTTCAGCAAGAAGTTGATTAATGGTCTGTCTTGAATAGGGATGCATTGGAGATTCAATTCTCTTCCCACCAACGGAGTCCAACTCATCAATAAATATAACGCATGGTGCGTTTGCTTTTGCTTCCCCTGACAAAACAAAAATAGCAGGATGACACTTCAGCCACACAAAAGAACAGACAGTGTATCATGTAATTTAGGATTCTACTGCATCGATTACTCTTGGATTATGAAGTGTTCTATTAGACATCACCAGAACTCTCTTGATTTTAGCCTAAAAAAAGGAAATATATTTTTTAAATTATGCAATATGAGAAACAAGGTTCTTCATCTCCACATCAGCTTATTCTTATCATGCTACATGAAATTACTAGTAAAATAGATTAAGAAGTCATCTAAACTTCTGTAGTCAACAGAAAAAAATGCACATTTTAAGGTACAACACGTGTTACATTTTGCATCCCTTCCATGTGAAGCAGGTCACAAATGCAAACTACTTTCTACGTTGTATATGCCTGACACTATCTTCCATTCAAGAGAGAAGCTGGATTCCCCACTCCTCTGATAATATTTATTTGCATACTTTAAACCAAAAGCCTCTTCTATGAAAGTTCTCAATCTAAAAATTTTCAGAATTTCATTATAACACCCTTTATTCTGGTCCTGATGATGTGTGTGAGAAAGGAAATCTCAGCTTAGTGCTACACTGTGATCCTATAAAGCTCTAATTCAGAGAAAGAAAAAAGACCATATAAAATATAAGGGAAGTAATTGAGAAGGTTAACACTATTTGTCTTATCTTAAACTTACAATTCAGTTAAAATTTACAATACTTTAGGTATGACGGCATGTAAATTACAATTTAAAATATGGCATTTAGTTTACAGGACATTACATTTCTAATTAGATTGCTTCTATTCTCTTTGGGACTGTTGTAACATCAGTTTTATTTTTTGCTTTAATTTCATCTGACAACTAGCAAATTTCTGCAGTTAATTGATGATCACATATTTCCAAGATTTACGAACAAAACTGACGTTTTATTTATTAGCCTCATACGCTACTGCTTTTCCAGAAACCAGAACAGTACCTAATCAAACCTCAAACTACACTCGATACTTAATCTTACATGTTAGAAGATATCAAAACCACAACTATTTCACTTACTGAACAGGCTTCGGATGCGACTAGCTCCTACGCCAACAAACATCTCATCGAACTCTGACCCAGACGCGTAATAAAACGGAACATCAGCTTCACCAGCTACAGCCCGTGCAAGAAGAGTTTTACCAGTACCAGGTGGCCCAACTAACAGAATACCTAAAAAGACAAATAAAATAACCAAAACAACAAAACCACCAAACCCACAGAGTTGCCTTACGCAAGTACCGTTTCTTCCATGCATTACAACAACTAATTTACATTTGGCTTCAAAAAGTCATTAAAATTTCATTACTTGCAGTCTGAAGAAGCTTCCCACAAGAGACTTAGATATGCTCTGATCAATATTTAAACAACAAAGACTTGTAAGATTATCAAATAAAAACAAAAGTCTGAAGTATTCTGCAAAGTTACTAGAGTTTAGCAGCTGAATCCCTAACAGCGTCATCTTCAAATCGACATCTTCCCAGCTGTTTCTGAAAGTGGAACTTTTCTTTTTTTTAAATTAAATCATTCCAAGTAACTGACTTCAAACAGTGCAGTGCACTTACCAGAAACAGACTTATCTGTTCTTTTCTGGACATTTTTGCATTATCTCGGGTAAGTTTACACAATTAAACTTACGTTGCGTACCCTTCTCAGCTAAGAAAAGGTACAGGAGAATTTAAAATTTTGGTGACAGGAAACTATTAACTTTAAAAAAGATATACTTATAGACAATTAAGGCAGGGGGAGAGAGGAAGAAAAAAGAAAACAGATAGACCTAAAAACCTCTGGCCCGCATAAAGTTCCACTCAAAAGGCACTCACATCAATTATGTGTAACTGTGAGTAAATATTTTTAATACTGTTTCTAATACTATTCAGTGACTGAATAAAAGAATTTTTGTAGTTCAGTAGATCATCTCTAAAAGGTTTACTTGGGACTTCAAAGTCATATCAATTCTTAACCCTGTAAATAAGGCTGCTAACAATTATAAACACAGATTTTTGAAAGACTTTTTGCCTGGAATCTTCACTCCACTGCTTTGCTCTGTCATAGCTCATTACTGCTTGTTATTACTGAATTCCTACCAAACATAAGATGTATCCAGGCATCTTTACTTTTTCTATCTCAGATACCTCAAATTTTCTGTGGGGGTAGGCAGGAATGACCAATTTTTACACATGGGGAACTGAAGGCAAGACAGGAAGCATGCAACAGAACTACCTTAACTTTCACTCACCCACACCCAAGTACCTCATTTCAGACTGTCCTTTAGTAAAGGAGCTTTCACAACTCTCTCCAAAGATTTAACTGTTCCTCAAATTTTTTAAACAAGGAAATCCACTGCCTATGTCTAACATTATTTCACTATCTTCCCCAGATACAAACTAAATACAAACAGTAGTATTTAGGCCCATTTTGGTTATATACTTTTGCAATTCCCTAACTAAAGGAAAAAAATATTCAGAAGCTAGACTGTAAATCAGCCAGTCAGTATAGAACAAAGTGACAAAGACAGCCATGGCCACATATAGCTTTCACTTCTGCGAGCAATCGTACTTACCTTTTGGAAGTTTACCACCTAGTACAGTAAATTTATGTGGGTTTTTCAGAAATTCCACAACTTCTTGCAATTCCTGTTTAGCTTCTTCAACCTGTACATTAAAAACATGCCACAAAATATAACTAAGCATTTCTAAAAATGCCTTTTTTTTTTTTTTTACAAATTTTTACATTAGCATTTTTACAAATGCTTTTTTGTAGGCAACCTCCGTGTTAAAGACTAACGCTCTATTTGTGTATTGATCAAAAATACACAACAAAGAGGAGATGAAAGTGTACTACAGAACTTGTGTGGATACCAAGTGTCCGTCAGTTTAATTCAACCTATTTCCTAGAACTGCTCATATGAATCAGAAAACACAGAAGTTAATAATACTGAAAGGATAACCAAACAGTTCAAGAACAGATGTGACCAACAAGATAAATACAGAATCAAAAATTCTACATTCAAATATTAGTCTAATTAGTTAAAAAGAGATTAAATCTATCTATTTGTCTAAGGGTAAGGAGAGAGGAAGGTCCCCATTTTGTCACTGACAGCCAAAGAACACTAAAACAGAAAAGATTAAGCTATCCCACCAGCAGTGACATGCCCTATTCTTTCTGTGAATCTCCACATCTCCTGTCCTAGTGTCATATATCTGAAACAGATGGTACCAAGAGAGAAATTATCAAATGGCATTACCATCTTCTTGTATTGGTCAACTTCTGCAAAAAACAGATTAACATGGATACTTATGGCCTGCCTTTTGCTATTCTAGCCTTTTAAAAATGTAATTCAGCAAGTCAAGAGTGCACCTTTTATAAGGAATTAAATACCACAAAGGCAAAAAAGAACAAGTGGTTAAAACTCTCCTTGATCTTGGAGTGGTCAACATATATGAAGCTTCAGTTCATACAAAGAAATTTCTTGAACAGAGCAAGACATTTAGGCTCACAATTAGTTAAAAGCAAGAACTCACACAGACTTTACTTTTGAACTTACCCCCTTCACATGCTCGAAGGTGACATTTTTCAACTGGATTGGATCAACTGCTGCATCAAAGATACTTGATGTTCGAAAGCGTACTAACAGCAAACAGCAGATGATGAACAAAAAATTTACACTTGAAGTCATTTCATTCCAAGATTGACCTAGCACTTGAATGCATACCATTAAGCCATTAACTTTACACCTGCACTTTTTAGAGGGCCTGTTTCTATTTACATGTCCCGCAAGAATAAGATTTATTTGAAAAAAATACCCCACACTTTAAAGTATTTGCAATTAAATCAGTTATATGCATGTTCTTTAGTAATCTGTAGTACAGAAAGTCCAGCATCCAAAACCACATATACAAAGCCAAATGTTCTCCCTCAGTGTTACTGCACATACCCTAATTTTCTTGAGACCCAGGCGACACCTTAGCATTATGCTGAAATTCTCCCATTTACCTTAGTTCAGCCTTTGATCATTCCGCTATTTTCAACAGATTCCTCAAGATTACAGTTTGGCTGTGCAAGGAGCTAGTCGCTATGGACTAGGCTGTCATTACAAATAAAAATCAGATCATTTTGCCTACTGCTGACCTAGATAATGCATCACCTAAATTCAAAGACAAATACATGACTGGTGAACAATCTGACTTCTTCTCTGCTTGGTTCCCTGTAATTGTTTCACCAAAAGAATTAAAATTATTATACTAACAGAAAACCTTTCTGTCTCCGTGAACATTTTGTCACACTATTGATGCAGTAGCCAAAAGCAGTAAATAACTTCTCTTTCATTCGTACATTGAAATGTTATTCTAAAACCATCATAATATCAAAATACATTTAATTTTGCTAAACCTGCTGGAAGAAAAAACACAAGTGAAACAATGGAGAAGAAAGTTAACTAACCAGCATCAGAAAAGGAACCTTTCCCAGGTAAAAATGATGAATATATAGCAAGATAAAAACAAAGAACGAAGAGAAAAAAAGAAAGCAAACGTGATCTTCTTAAGGAATCTGTAAAAAAAAAAACAACAAACAAAAGAAGTTTTAATATGGGCTAAAATAAACTACTTTCTGAATGCAGAGACAACACACACAAACTAAAACAACTTACCAAGTGTTTTTTGCAGGAATACCTGTGCTTTCAAAAAGCCTTCTGCAAAACCAGTTTTAAAAGCATCCTGGTGTGCCTCTGGGATGTTCTTTGTTTTCATTAATGTATCTAAGTTTTCAACATCAATTCTTCGTTTTCTCAGGATAAAGCCCTAAAATATTTGCCACAGCAGTGTTAGCACACACTAAGTTTTGATACATAGTTAACTACCTGGCTAGCATGGGTGGGAGGGAGGGAGTATAAAATTCAAAAAAGCATGTAATCCAGATGCAACATAGAGGACACAGGGCAGTGGCCTGAGTGTGGAATCACAATGGCTTCAGCAGAGGCACCCTGATTTCTGCTGAACAGGTCAGGTTCAGAGCCCTCCTGGACCCCAGTCCCAAACAAAAAACACAGCCTAAGGCAGATCTATACACAGCCAGCTTTCTACACTAGATTCAGTGGGAACCACTGACTTAAGCTTTTTGCTTCATGAAATCAACTTAGAGTATTTCCAAATGTGAAATATCTTTCCAAGTATAATTTTGATAGAGCTTGATCAAATACATCTTTCATGTGCTAGCAAATGGAAGGGCAAAACTCCATGGAGCTAACTGTGGTTTAGCTTCATCCATGTTATACCTAGTCCACAGATGAAATAAACCACATATGCCTAGAAGAAGGGGAGAGTTCTAAGCTAATTTACACACACAATAAAATCAAATACTGTAATTAGCCTAGCTTCTGTACAACCAATTAAAAGCAAAGAGTACCTAGGTTAACTTGGTTTTGTTAAGTGCTTGGGTACCCTAAGCCTAGACAGTTATCTACTGAATAAAAAGTATGAGAGTTTGTAACTCATAAAAATACCAAGTTTAAAACTAAATCTATTCTTAAAACAATCACATGCTGAACTGCTTGAAAAATATACGTTCTTGTATGTTAAACTAGCTGCATTTCTGTTTAAACAAACACTTCATTTGACTCCAAGCTATTTTTAACAAGTCCACAAAAACAGAATACAAATAGTTTTATTTCTACTACTTTTATACTCTGAAACTACTCTCCTAAAAAAAAAAAAATCTTAAAATCGATGATATATGAAGCAAAGCTGTGTATTGGTAAGAAAAACAGTATGTTGTCATTAGCTCAAGTTTTAGAAGTAACAATTTTTTTTTCCTCACTACTGAAACAAAACATCCTTGGTAAACTATGATGGTTCATTCAAGAGAAAGAGATGGTCTGAATTAGCCCAAAACAACTTCACAACGTCATCCGTATTTACCTTCAGAAGTGAAGAAAGTGAACTTTTTGTTTCTGTGAATTGTTCAGATGTTGACTGCAGACGTCTTGCTTTTGATCTCAAAGTCTTAAAGTTCCGTGACTGTATATAAACTAGTAGTAATAATAATAAACAAATAAATAAAAAGTTAAAAACTATCCATTACTACCACTACAAAAAAAACTAAGAAATTTCAGAAACTATTATAAGAAAAAGACTATTGTGATTGAACTGAGTATCATCTTCCCAAAATATCCACAGTAGGAAGTGAAGAGAATTGCAACCAGCAATCTCTTTAAGATGCCTGACCAAAAAAGTAAAAAACAGAAAGCTGTATGAAAGACACGTCTCGATAAAATAGTAATAAACTGGATAAATAAACCAATAGTTGTCAGTACTGTTAATGGACAGTTAGGTGATCATGAACCATGTCTGTAAGCTGAACTTGCAAGCAAACAGCTTACTGTTTCACAATGTATTTTTCCCATAAAATCTTTTGCTTAAAGTTATCAGGAGCTCATGTTGTGAATTACAGGTAGTTAGTTGGCCAACCCTGTCACTGTCTTAGAGAACAGAAGAGACATACAGTTGAATTAAATCCAGGGAAGCTGACAAACATGAAACTCATCATTTAAGAATACAATCCACAAACACTGACATCTCCAAACAAAATTCTATAGTTTCACCATGTTTACTGACTTAATTCTGGAAAGATATTACTCAAATGCAAAAATAACTACACGATCTAAAGCATTAATATAAGTGTAAGGTTCTTCCTGGAAGTTTACTGGTATTTGCCTCTAAGACAAAAGAAAAATATTTTCCCAGAATAAAAAGATACTACAGAGACTGAAAACAGCATAGTTTGTTTAATACCTGGCCAATACCGAACATCTGAACAGAAATTTTGAAGGGGATGAGGATGCTGTCTGTACAAACAAGATGAGCGTAAAGCACTGAAAATATCCACAAAACCTGTAAAAAGATACAGCAAAGTGTAAGCATACCCTGTATTAAATGGCATCTAAATATTACCTCTCATATAGGTTGTTTTTGCTTTCTTCAATATTAATTCTATTTTACTGCAGTCCTTCAGGCATTGATTAAACATTACCAGGACATAGCTAGTTAACTACTTTGCATTAATCTATGTCAGGCACTCTGTAATATAGCAGAGTTTCTTCTAACTAGAACTTCCAAAAATACTGGTCCCCAGAATCCTAAATTTGAAGCTGTATCTGGGAGAGAAAACTCTGCATAACTTTATTCAGCTTGGTACAGGTATCTAGACTGGACAGGAATCCAAAAACTTTCATAAAGCTGAAGGACCAGCATTCAACCAATCATTCAGTTTCAAAGGCTTTAACAAACAGATTGCTCACATTTTAAAACAGACTATGTATAACACATGAAAACATTTTAAACTACGCTAAGTCTACTTCATTGTACAGTCCTCATGCAATACAGAAACAAGAAGAAATAAAAGAATTTCATCACAGTGAAAAGGTTATTAGCAGATACTATTTCAAGCACCCTATACACTGCAACACAAGAGGACTGTCATTTTTCTGTTGTTTAGTTACCAAAATCTCAAATAACTCATCCTCTTCTAAGAGGTAAGAATTATTTAAGAAACATCAGAGACCTGGGGAGGGAGGGGAAGAAAACTGAGGCCAAACCTTTGAAGTTATATGATTGTAATAATAGCTTACAAGCTAAGAGCTGAAATACTGAGGAACTATGGGAAGGAGGAAAAAACATTAGCTATTAATTAATTCTACCACGCTGTATATTCCACAATCTCCTACGATGCTGTATAGCGGCTAATCTAATACAACATAATTATGAACACATTACTTTAAAAATACATCAATACTCTCCTCACTTTATGCACAAGCATATGCACAACATACACATACCAGTAACAGTCATCCACAGCATGCAGTGTCACCTACACCAGAAGAACATTCTTGAAGATTTAGCATCTCCCTTGCCTGTGTGAGCTTTCCACCTATAACCTTGCCTTTACAACTGTGAATGACACAACCAGTCTGGTGAGCTTCTGTGGTCATCTATCAAAGCTTTGAGGCATTTGCAACTTTTTTCTTCACATTCAGGAAACTGCCTCTGGGCTAATTTTTTTATATCTCACATGACAATGCAATTTAATACCTTTCCTCTAATAGCAGTCCTGAGATTATATTCTTATGCTCTGCCAACTGAAGTACTATATAGGCAGTATCTCAAATGTTGGCTGTATGCCTTTTTTTTTTTTTTAAACACATTCTTGAGCATCTACAATGGCTTTGCTTCCTGTATTTAAGACTAATTCCAACAAAACATCTTTACCTGTAAGGAACCACTCTTGGTTTATTTCAGCAATTAAATACTCTACATGGACTGTTAACAGTTTGTCACCCTGAATTCCTTTCTAATTAATGTCACTGTGTTATGTCACTTCAAGCAAGAAAGAAAGAATTTCATATAAACTGAAGATGTTCATGACTGTGTTACAAAAGTAAATTAGCAAAATTTAATTTTTGCCATTTGGTGTAACAAAGCGGTGAAAAAAACCATAGCTCAGAATCATTATTAAGAGACCATGCACTTGTACCACAGCTGAGCTCAAACAAGTTTAATAGCAGCCAACTTCAAATCTGAATTTTGAAGCAGCAATTTCAAAATCTGGTCTGAATTTTCTAAAATTCCCAAGAAACAAAAGCACCACTCTGGAGATAACCTGTATGAACTAAAAAAATACATTAATACTCTTTTTAGAACAGATTTTTTAAACTCTGAGTTATATACAGCACAAAAGATTAAACTAAAGCATAACTATGTTCACCTGTATAATCTAACTCTTATCCATTCTTATCAGCGCTTTACTCTGAAACATACCATGCTTATTTTCAAAGAAGGACTCAGCGGAGATGTACGATGTATGCCACTGCGAAGACACTTTGTTTTCTGCACAGTAGCCAGGAAGCAACCTGTTCACCAGTTCTTTGAACTGGTTAGCTTTCACATCAGACAATCCTAGCTCTCTTAAATTAAGTACAGACTGCAAAATAAAAAAACAATGATCAAAATTTACTTAAGATTACCTTATGGAAAAAAGAAGAAGAAGAACTGAGTTAACTTTTTGGCCTGATAGAGCATCTATATTTTGTAGCCCAGACTGAAATAAAAATTTCTAGATGAAGATAAATAAATGAAAGGACATGATTAACGAAAGACTGTTTGCTATTGTCAGTGCAGAATAACTCTTCTTTTTGTACACATCGATATTTTTGTTGTGTCAGTACATTTGTGACAAGTATATTTTCTTCCCAATTAGTCTTCTTTTTAAACCTTCCTGCTCCATGACTGAATCAGACAAAAAAATACATTTTTTCAACTCTTTCTGTTCTTTATGACAGAGCAAATGGAGAGTGTGAGGGGGAAGATGTACAACAATATCCACCTATTATATTTCATACAGATAATAATTCAACTTTATGCAATATTAGAACTGCATGTACTATGTCCAGTATTTGCCAATTTTTAATTTGAGCTTAACCTTTATCTAAGCTCAGGTTTATTATAGTCTAATCAACTTGCTTTAAGAATTGTCTTTTTAAAAAAAAGTTACTTTAATAATGAGAAATTTTAAAAATTATTATTTTTGTATTTTTATTGTGCTATGAGAAAGCAAACAGGCATATGATGAATCAGAGAAAATACTAAATGTGAAAAAACCCACAGTATTTGAAGGAGACCAGATTCTCTTATTGAGCAGAAAGATAAACACAGAACTGAAGCTC